ATCGACATCTGACACCTTGAACTTGTTCCCCGTCCTTTCCTCAAACACACCTCTTTACTCTTGCTCTCGATCCTCTGTAACCTCTTGGATGCTAGTGGCACTCCCGCCCTTCTTGGGGTGAATTGTCTTTAAAAAAAAAATTTTTTTAAATTATTTCACCACAGGGCATGGCAATAAAGCCACTAAGACACAAAGGAGTTGCTGATTATAATCTTCAAATATTCAAGTGTAATGTCAATCGACATCTGATACCTTGAACTTGTTCCCCGTCCTTCTCTGTATCCTTTCCTCAAACACACCTCTTTACTCTTGTTCTCAATCCTCTGTAACCCCTTGGATGCTAGTGGCACTCCCGCCTTGCTTGGGGAGAATTGCTTTAAAAAAAAATTGCATAAATATTTTCAATTGCTATCATTCTTATTTTATTACACTAACATTACATGCATTGCTTAAGATGTAGGTAAAATAGTTGGCTTCCTGTACAGTTCCAGTAAGAACCTAAATTCTCATGGTATTCTTTACAAGACCCAAATCAGGCAGAAAATGGAGTACTGCTGTCATATTTAGGCAGAAGTAGGGATGTTTTCTGTTAACTTACCGCAAAATATAAGTACCCCCACCAAATATAAAGAATTTATATTTACTAGGATTCGCACCAAATTATCCCAGAGTGAGGCCCTTCAAATTGCACTCTGGTTTAGTTGACCTTTTCGATCACCCCAAATGTGCGCAACTCGGGTGCACTATTTCTAAATGTGGGGGGTCTGCGTTGGTGATCACCCAGATAAACAAGGCAAAAACAGATTGTTTTCTAATTTTTAAAATTGTAAAAACATCCTTGTAAGTACCTCGAATATCATCCGCACTTACAAAATGTGAAAAAATGGCTGGTTTTTCATTCGGAGGGTTGACGTTTTTGCGAGCAAGCCAAAAAAATTTTGATTAAACATCCATTTCAAAAGAGTGCCAAAATTTAAAAAAAAAAATCGATTTAAAATTCATAATCCCTTGGTGTGAATTAATATTTGCTATAAGTAACTTCATATTATTTGGGTTGAATTAACAAAAAAAGATCCAGAAGATGTCTAATCCACATTTTAAACCGAGAACACTAACCTCGGGTATATAGTACCCAGGGCAAATAGTACCCAGGGCAAATTTTCCTATTTTTAATTACAATTTTCAGTACCTGATTTACTTACCTAAATAATATGTTTTTCAGTTACTATTAATGTTAACTCAAAGTAGAAAAGTTTGAAGTGCCTGCAGGTAAAATATTTCAAATAAAGATTTATATTTAATAATTATATATATATTTTTTTTATTTTGAAAATCGGATATGATATACCCATGCTTAGTAGTGGTGTAACTTTAATTGATGGTTAGTGTTCTAGGGGTTAATGTCTTGATAGAGTTCAAATGAGTCTCGAGTCGTTGTATGTGACGTTTATTAGGTTGGTGCAAAATAATGACGTAATAATGTCGTTTTTTGACGTATTTTTTAACGTCAAAAAACGACATTATTACGTCATTATTTTTGCACCAACCTAATATTTTCCACCGTTCAACCTCTCTCTCTCACAGGCAGGATGTTGTAAGCCTCTCACTGCTTTATCGCTACTGAACTACGTTCCTTGATGCCGTCCTGGTCTAAAATTCATGGCTAGGACCAACCATGCTACTTACATTTTAGCAAACCACCCTCATTGCCTTGAATGGATTCAAATGCGTCTTCGATTCCTTGTTGGAAAAGAAATATTTCCCACACTCCAAACTCTCTCTCGCTGACGGGATGTGGTGAGTCTCTCAGTGTTATATCGCTACTTTCATGGAAAGTGCTCAGATGAACTTCATTCCTTGGTTCCCGACAGGTCAAACCTTCACAGCTAGGACCCGCCACTCTACTTAAATAGTAGCAAACCACCCACATTTCCCCCTATTCCATCGGTGAGAAATAAGTTCCACTCGAACAGCATCGTCTCGCGAACCACTGCCCTGTGCAACCGACTCCCAAGAGGATGCTTCCCCGATCACTACAATACTAACATGTTCAAAGCTAGAGTTAACCGTCATCGTCGCCTCGTATCCGTATAAACTACCCCTTTACCTCGAGTGGCCCCCGGGCCTTGTACAGGGTGAACCTTAGTATAAAAACAAAAATAAAATGTCATGCACATATGTTTCTCAAGATAGGGGTTGGAATCGTTGTGTTCGATCTTATCTTCGTGGGCAACACTTGCTGAGTAAATTTCTCGTGATGTCCGTATATGAGGAGGGCAGGCTGATAAACAAAGAGCCACGGGTATGTTAGCCGCGACATAAAAATGACCCTAAAACCGCATACAGTGAAGGGAAATCACAAGAATGGGTGTAGGCAGCACTGAAGACTAGATCAGGGATGCAAGACCCGAACTTGATTTTCTTTTTCGACAAGCAGAACAGAGAATTTTGTTTTCGGAGTGAGACATTGCTTTATCTTTCGCCGCCAGTAAACGATGTGCAGATTATCTATCTATCTATCTATCTATCTATCTATCTATCTATCTATCTATCTATCTCAGTCTGTTCATTTCTATCTATCTATCTATCTATCTATCTATCTATCTATCTATCTATCTATCTATCTATCTATCTATCTATCCCAGTCTCTTCTATCTATCTATCTATCTATCTATCTATCTATCTCGGTCTGTTCATATATCTATCTATCTCAGTCTATCTATCTATCTATCTATCTATCTATCTATCTATCTCAGTCTGTTGATTTCTATCTATCTATCTATCTATCTATCTATCTATCTATCTATCTATCTATCTATCTCAGTCTGTTCATTTCTATCTATCTATCTATCTATCTATCTATCTATCTATCTATCTATCTCAGTCTGTTCATACCTGTCTATTTCAGTCTGTTCATATCTATTTCTCTATCTATCTCAGTCTGTTCATACCTATCTATCTATCTCAGTCTGTTCATATCTATCTAACTATCTGTCTGTCTATCTCAGTCTGTTCAGATCTATCTATCTATCTATCTATCTATCTATCTATCTATCTATCTATCTATCTATCTATCTATCTATCTCATTCTGTTCATATCTATCTATCTATCTATCTATCTATCTATCTATTACGTAGGTGGGTACAGAAGCTCTCAGAGAAAAGTCGATTTTCTGTGAGGTATTCAAATCTCTTGTCTCTCACTTCGAGATCATTTTGCCCACACCTAATATATTTGTTTCATACATCACATTATATGTCACCTCTCTAACACCCATTGATTCTTTCTTTCTGATCTATCGTGATTTTCTAGGCGTAGCTTAGATGTGGCACAAGGCCGAAAATATGGATCACCCAGTGTGGTTTGAACTCACTACTCAGTCGTAACTGATCAAGCGAGACAAGCTTGCTATTAGACCACGACGAGGTGCCAAAAGAGTGATTTACTAAGTGAACCTTAGATGTGACACAAGGCCGGAAGTATGGAGCACCCAGTGTGGATCGAACTCACTAATCAGTTGCAACTGATGTAGAGAGATAAGCTTGTTAACCATTACACCATGCTGAAGTGGACATATAGATCTGATCTATGTTTAATAATATTTATTTTTCTGTAATATAATGGTGATTTTTTAAGCGTCGCTTAGATGTGGCACAAGGCCCAAATTAAGGAGCACCTAGTAAGGATCAAAATCAATAGCCAGTCGTAAATGATCTAGCGAGACAAGCTGAAGTGGACACATCTATATGATCTACACTCTTGCGCTTTAGTTTCCTTTCTTCACCATACAGTCAGTTTTAGACCCAATGGAGTGACAGGGTGTAATCGATTTCTATTTTTTCCTCGGATTAGGTCATTTGCGGTAATATGCAAGAAATATGACTCTATTTTCGATGTGTATGATGAAACTTGTTTGGACTTAAAAATATTACGTCATCCGTGATTGGATCAGATTTTTATCACACCTAGACACTATTGTCTTGTCTGTCGATTAGTTGTCCTACGGCCATTGTCAGCGATGGACGTTACTCTAAGGAAGCGTACGAAAATTTGTAACACTATGCGGACACACTGGCAAGCCTTACCAGCGAGCAAATCAAAATACAATAGACTGGCCGGGAAACTCTCATGATTTAAACCCAATCGAGAATCTGTGATCAAGCTGCAAGGAACGATTTCGTGGAATGGATATGCGAAGTACTTATATGTACACTGGGTCATGTTTCATTGGGAAAATACGACAAAAAGTAAATAATAATTATTCGTTTTGTTTCAATTAATTTGTACAAGGGTGTATGTTTAATAATATTTATTTTTCAGTAATGTAATGACTGCCTTTTCATATTGCGAATTTTACCTAAGATGCTGTTGGTGTGGTGCATAATTATCAGGCGTTTTTTAAACGATACTTATTATGATAAAAGAAACATAAGAATTAAACAATAATATTCTTAAATGATTATTCTGGAGAGTATGATTATCGACACGCTTTTATATAACCTGAAAATAAAATACCATTTTTTTAAAAAAGTAAACAAATTTTATTAACAAATAACTTGCCTACAAAAACGCCTGATAATTATGCACCAACCCACTATAGAAAACCAGAAAATAGTTTTGTATGAATGTTGTTATTAAATTAATGTCTTTTTAGGTAATTGATTCATTTCTTATAAAATCAAGGCATTTTATACAATATTATGGGCAACAAGCTTCTTGATTTGAAATGAATAACTTAAAGAAAACAGATTTAGGAATCTTTTGTGAGAAACAATATATTTTTCATATGTTGGTGCATAATTAACAAGCGTTTTTTAAACAATACTTATTATGAAATAAGAAACATAATAATAATATTTTTAAATGATTATTCCGGTGTGTACGATTATCGACACGATTTTTATAACCTGAAAATAAAATAATATTTTTATTACAAAAAAGTAAACAAAACAGCAATTTTTATTAACAAATAACTCTCCTTCAAAAACGCCTAATAATTATGCACCAACCCACTATCTATCTATCTATCTATCTATCTATCTATCTATCTATCTATCTATCTATCTGTTGGGTTGGTGCTTAATTATCAAGCGTTTTTTAAACAATGTTTATTATGAAATAAGAAACATAATAATAACATTTCTAAATGATTATTCCGACGTGATTAGCGACACGCTTTTTTGTTACCTGAAAAATAAAATAATATTTTTATTAAAAAAAGCAAACAAAACAGCAATTTTTATTAAAAAAATAATTCGTCTACAAAAACGCCTGATAATTATGCACCAATCTAATAGTATTTGTTTGAATCCAAGATAATTTTCAACCACATTGTTTCTTTCGTCCTGAAAGCATTTGCAGTTGCATATTTTAAGAACCTGTTCTAGAAGCAAGCAATTATATGCGTTCACTAATGACAGTTGAATCACGCTGATTCTTTGACATCAAACGTCTGGCTAAATTTCTGCATAAAGAGTGTCAAGTATTTGTTACTTGCGTATCGTCGCATTCCTCTTGAGGCGTTTAAGAGAAAAAGTAGAATTTTAATTTGCCAATGATAGGAAACGGATGAGAAAGACACAGAGGAAAGTGTAACACATTCAAAGGGCTTGAGGAAAGACAACGAAGACATGATGAAAGGAGATAGACAAGCGTTAGCAATGATAAGGTGTTTCCCCGTTGGTAATTACGTCACTGAAATTATCTATCTTCAGATTAGCAATGCACGTCTTTTATACTTTGGGCTATAAGGTACCAAAAGATGTCATGCATTAAAAGAAGTAGAGAGACGAGGAAGAGTAAGGGAAGTCAGAAGAGCTGAAGAATGGTACAGTAGAAGAGAGACAGGAAGGAAGTATTTAACAACAACAAAAAAAAATTAAAGAAATTAAAGAGAAAGAAAGAAAAAGAGAAACTTAAAGGACGATTTAGGAAAGGAAAGAATATATGAAAAAGCAGAATAAATAAATAAAGTTGATTGATTTTCTTTAGCGGCATATCAACACCTCTGTGGGTTATTCAATACCGAAACTAAACATATTTTGAACACAATTGTAAGCCTTCTGCTAAAGAAAAAATGTATTGTTGGTCATTTTGCTATAAAATATATTGCTGATAATTCTGTAAATATGTATTTTTGGTAGTTGTTTTATAGCAAAATATACTGTTGGTACTTTTATTATAAATTGATATTGTTGGTTGGTTAATTTTGTTTAGAGGTATAACAAACCACTGTGTTATTTAATGCCGAAATCTAAATATTTGGGCTTCAACTAAATATATTTTAAATGCAACTGTATGCCTTCAACTACAGATAAAACCTATTGTTGTTCATCTCTATCTATAAAAAGCAGGATGTGTGTGTGTGTAACGAATGCACGGCCGCAATTTTCGACGGATTTGCATCAACATTTACATGCACATGCTCCAATGGAAGGCCAGGACCGACATAGCATTTCCCAACTCCCATCGATAGTGGAAATAATCGATTTTTTCATGCTTCTGTGGCAGTTTTCATGTAGTTTGCAGCCATTTTCTACTGGCCAGTGTGAGAACAATAGCTGGCTGCCACGAATAGGCAGGAAGATTCTATTGGCCATCGTGAGAGCCAACAGCTGACTGACACGAATGTTAAGTAGCATGCTAGCATGCAAAATAAAATCGATAGCTGCAAGTGGGAAAAATTTAAATCTGCATGACACTTTACTTTCAATTGGCTCATTCGCATGCTTAAAGTTAACGTTGATTCTGATTCCGCAGAACTGGGTTGGGTGTGAAAAAGTATTTGTTGTTAACATTCTTTTTTCATTCGGTTTTTCCAGTTACGAGTCCTTTTTTAAAGCTGATCGTTTTGTGTTCATTTTGCTTAGTTCTTTTTTCGTAACAAATTTAATGTTTAGTATAGAGCTTAGAAAAAATTCGCAGTGTGAGATAGGCAAGAATTAAGGCATGTAGCAACATCAGCACGGCAAAGAGCACTCCTTTAAAAGCAAGGAAGGGCAAAAATATTTTAAGTCAAGTGATAGCGATTGCTGTATGAGTCATACGATTTTTGAATCAAGCACGGGCAACGCCGGGCCATGGTGATAGTTTTATCATAAAATACATTGTTGGTAATTCTACTATAAATAGATATTGTTGGTAATTTTACTATAAATAGATATTGTTGGTAATGTTTTTATATAAAAATGTATTGCTGGTATTTTTATTATTAAAATGTATTTTTGTACTTTCATAGCGTTTTTTTTTGGGGGGATCACTATTTGCCCCATAGCTGGGATCCTAACAGGTGCTACCAACCCGGGTCATGGTGGACCTGTGAACAACAGCATTTAATTGGTGGTTCCATGTTCCTCAAAACCTCCAATCTTCCATTTAGAGGACTTGCAGCCGGGTGTAGTTTATCGTCATACCCAGGAATGAAGAAAGAAAGAATGAAAAGAAACAGAAACGAAGAAGATATACACCTTTTTTTTCACCTTTTACATGGTGGCTATTATTCACATATTTTTTGTTATCACAGAGTTTCGGCTATTGTACTCTCCAGACTTGATCAGAAGTATGTCGATCCAAGTAACCTATAAGGAGTTTTTAAATGAACCTTTTAGTTAATGTACGGGGGTAGATTGTTCTCGTTCACGTTCCATTGCCCGTGTCTAGGGGGCATCTCGTCTGTTTGTTGTTTTAGTACTGCTCGGTTATTGCCCTCCCCGTTTCCACTGAATCTAAGTAAATTTACTGTTTCCTAGGTTACCGAGATCACCGTACACCTGATGAAGGCCGGAGAGCACAACGGTTGAAACGTTGTGATAACAACAACAAAGATGAGGTAAACAGTATTTTACATAATGGTAACTCTTCATCCCAGAATTTCAGACGGAAATGTTTTGTGAAGTGTAGAGGGGCGGTTACAGTAAAAAAAAGGTGGAATAAAAAGATTATTGGGTGTATGGAAAGAGAAAGTATACGTCATGGAACTTTCTATTCTCCAGGGTCCATTATAGACATTAGTATATTCGTGATGTATTAACACATTGGCTCTCACATAACCGACCAAAGTGTCGTGGTGGTATGTCTGCAAGGCTAACACGACCCTCCTGGGAGTTGTCTTCCATTTTCTTTTCTATGAGGATTATTGAGAGTGAAATGCTATGAGTGATTACACAAGAACCACATCTTCTCCCCCCACAAAAAAATTAATATTTTTTTGTTTCGTTTTCCTTTGTTCGTTTCTTTTATTTTTACATATCCAGAGTCGTACCCTGCATCCGTGTTAGTCGTGTGAGAACTCAGGTACTGAACGACACATCGGTAGGTCGTGGGTCATAAATACTATCAATGGTAGCCTTGCTTCATATATAAACAATGTTAAAACAAGGTCGCTTGTACCAGATTAATTAAGATATAGTGTTGCGACCCTGAAAATGCGACTTGAGAGCCAACGTGTTAACACCTTAAAACAGCAGAAGGACCTCTACTAAAGAACCCAGAGGAAAGAATTAAAAAAATGAAAACGTTTTATATACAAAACATGATTGCAAAGAACATAAATAATAATAAATATTCATTACACACACACACACACACACACACACACACACACACACACACACACACACACACACACACACATATATATATATATATATATATATATATATCCAATTATAGGATTGGTGTATACGGAATAAATTCCAATAACCAACAAATACTATTCTTAAAAGAGTGCTCAATACAGAGTAGACCAAATCTAATCATTTATTCGAAAATTATAACATAAAAATGTTATAAAGTCACTACAAAAATAGCCATTTTGTTTCAACACTTCTGGTGTCTTCTCAAGTGATGTTGAATGTAGCAACACCATCACCAGAATTGTTGAAACAAGATGGCTATTTTGTAGTGACTTTACTTTTATAACATTTTTATGTTATATATTTTATAATAATATATATATATATATATATATATATATATATATATATATATATATATATATATTATTCTAACAGAAAAATCAAAGCACATTTGAGATAAAAAACAGCCTGTGTATAAAAAGGTCTTACTTGTAACATATCCAAGATGGGCACGAACCAGCCCCGTAGTATATTATCGGTCCTTCGCTAAGACGCTTTGGAAGTGTTTTGCCATTTGTGACCAAACAACAACTCTATTCTCACCAACGGGCTATAACGTGATACTTCACAGGCCTCTTAACATATCCGTAAATTATTGGATGAAGGAAGCTATATTAGAAAGAAACGGAAGTATATACAGAGATGAGTCGAACGAAGAGGAAGCAATGACGAGGAAGGCAAAGGCAAGAGGAAGAAGAGAAAAGATGTAAAGAAATAAAATCAAGTGAGGAAGACATTGAAGGGTAAGGAAGTTTGTAGAATAGCGGGAGAAAAAGGAAAAAAGAAAAAAGGAAGTGAAACAGGGAGAAGACGAGATGGGTGGGAAATAGAGAATAAGAAAAGAAAGGAAAAGAAAAATGAATGGTGGGGATTAGGATGATGTTAGATTGGCATCTGTTGCTCTGTCTGTATATCTGTCTGTCTCTCTCTCTCTCTATTAACTATATTTTAACGTAAACATTGTTTACGTTGAAATATGGTTTGGTTTCTTTTTTATGGACATTGCTGGCGAACCGGAAGTTATCTGAGAATGGACTATAAATTGTCAGGGGGAGTCGTAGTGTGTAGTCATAGGGATGGAAAAAAATTGTACAACGGACGGTATACAAGTCTATACCCGATCATTATCGGCTGGGTCACCGTGGAGAGGGGGTATGATGTCCCAAAACCTCTAATGAACCTTGGCTACGAACATCATTGATGAGGTGTACTAAAGCTTCCAATAGAAGTATTTTACGAAAAATGATAGAATTTTTCTAAAAAAAAACAAACCAAAAAACTATATGTTACAATTATATATCCATTATTTTATATATAATAGTATATATAATATTTATTTAATTCCTTGATTTTAATTTTAATATTGCCATGTCCTATGGCCCATTGAATATAATATGTATAGTATTTTAGTAGGCAAATAAAATAATATTTTAACTTGGTTTAATCATACTAGAAGCCCCTTTAAGATAATTCTAAAGTATAAACAATAATGATTAAAAAATAAAACCCTTGCGTCTTATCAAGTGATAGTGTTGAATGCCATTCAATACCATCACTTGATAAGACGTCAGAAGTGTTGAAACAAAATGGCTATTTTGTAGTTATTTTATAACATATTTTGTTATAATTTTCGAATAAATAATTATATTTGCTCTACTCTGTATTCAGAAATAATTATATATATAGCCGAGGTAAACATGGAAGGGAGCAAAAGAGACTAGTTGCTAATTAGGAATTAGGAGTACTTTAAAATTTGGGGGTAACAAAACACCCCATGTGAATAACGCTGCATTAATAAGACTTTCAATCTCTAAGCATGTAGATAATAAATTTGAGGTTATTAGGTATTTTTTATTCATTAAATAAAGAATAAACAGATAAAAATGTTATTAAATGATGTAAACTTTTGTTCTTTAATTAAAATCTCCATTTGTTCCTTATTAAAAATCAAATATTTTTGTACCCACTTCGCCGAAAAAGATATTTTCACACTCAAAACAGCGAAATCAAATAACTTTAAAATATGCGATCGATTTGACACTCTATTGGTATTATCTATAGGAACCCCTTCTAAATCGATAAATAATCAATATTTCTCTATAAACAATCGATATTTCTCGATTTTGCAACCAAGGGACGGCCCAATGCATGTAACATACAAGGAATATTTCCACCAAAGTATGCAATCTTTTTTTGAATCAATTCACCCCAAGTAAGGCAGTAAAGCCAGTATGACACACGTGATTACTGAGTGAACTAGTCACGAAAAATATTTCTAATGATATTATTTGATGTTATGCGTTTTGCCAGAAGTAAGGAAACTTATAAAATTTTAAACGAGATTTGTTCTGACCAAAGCTCTACATCATCTTCATATTGCTTATATTTCTGTTTATATCTGGTTGTTATGAAACCCAGTACTCCCTTCCGCATAGTCAAGCAATTAAACTGGTTCCTCCACCAGGCTTTTCTGGTGAGAACGTTGGCTAGATACCAAGTAGGATTAAAAACAAAACCTTTCAAAGTTGATTCAACAGTCATCTAGGACAATGGAGTAGACAGGGCCTCTATAGCTATGGATGCAGCAAGTACGGCGAGGACATGACATCACTATACTCAGGGCGTCCTACACTTAAAAATCAACCACCAGTGTGAGGCGTTCCCTGATGGAATCAACGATCACGCATCTGTGATCAAGTTGAGGGACACCAGCTGTGGTTTGACATGGCTTTCAACACATATATGTATACAGTGAATTGTTCAGATTCTCAGGTGCGCAGCGACCCTACGACCACTCCTGGTCATGGGATGATAATGATCATGATGTTTATAAGTCAATACATTTTTAAATTAACGAGTGTGACTAAAAATGATTTAGACACATGTATAGTAAAAACAATTTATATACTTTAAAATACGAGAGATAATATTTAAAATACTAGTTACAAGTTTAAAATTGAGAGCAGTAACTGAAAATGAAATAATTTTTTCTAAAATTCAGATTTCTTGATGCCTTTGTTTTTTATGACTTATCAACCCTTCGCAGGTTATTTAAAGCCACGAAATATTTTTAGATTGTAAGAATTTTTTGAGATAACAATGATTTACTGATAAAAGTCTTGCTAATTAACCCATAGTTGGGGGAGAAGCGGTGGATTCATACCTTTCACAAGGATATTTGCACGTAAGTGAATAATAAAAAAAACTAACTGGAATTAGAACTCGGCTCTCCGATTAACAATTCTGAGCCATTATCATTTACACCAGCCGCACATCCAGCTGTAGAACACCGGGTATTCCCAAGAGGTTAGCCATCTAAGTACTGACCAGGCTCGACGTTGCTTAACTTCGGGGAATCTATAGGAATCTGTGCTTCTACCTGGTATGGCCGTCACCCTAGAATCATTGAAGATTTTAACAGATATTAAAAAATTATGTTATGAAATGGTGATGTGGGGGTGATTTTTCTTTATTAGAATTTGTCATTTTGATATTATTTTTTTTTACTAATTTTTAACTTTTTAATCATTTCACCCCAAGTAAGGCGATAATACCACTAAGATGCAAGGGTTTACTGGGATTGAAAGGGAATGTGAAACTTTAGGAAAAGAAACTCGAAACCTAATCCTAAAAAGTTAACAAAGAACAAACCTCTAGCTAGTCCTGTTCAAAAGATGAAAAAGGAGTATGAACCGGGTCATAGACAAACATATCTACTTCTATGAAATAAGTATAATTTAAATATATGGTAAAGAAAACATTTAGCAATCTGTTGTAGCATACCTACGAACGATAATGGATATGTCCCCATTCACATAAATACAGTAGTAAATACTGTATGTTGGTCTGCAGTCGAAGATTCGTCACATACGTTTTATACGGGGTCTATGGGGAATTTTTGGTCGAACTTACAGGCTCGGATACCCCATATTAAATTCATCTGACTTCATGGGGCGGTTGGTAGATATCCTGTAATTGGAGATTCGTCTCCAGCTGTGCTGGTCAAACTCTTTACCTCCGGCCAGAGTGGATCCCCAGACGAGGCTATGTCGAAGGGCAGAGTCTCGTCACGGGAAACAGCTACCCGACATCGTTTTATACGGGGTCTAAGAGGAATTTTTGGCCAAGCCGACGGACTCGGATACTCCACATTAGATTCGGTCTTGTGCCACATCTGACCGCGTGGAGCGGTTGGTAGATATCCTGCAGTTGGAGATTCGTCTCCAGCTCTACTGGTCGAAATCTCTGCCTCTGTGCAGGGATGATCTACCGACGAGGCTGTGTCGAAGGGCAGGGTCTCGTCTTAGGAAACAGCTACTCGATCCTGTTTTATACGAGGTCTACGTGCACTTTTTGGCCGAGCCGACGGGCTCGGATACCCCACATTAAATTCGGTCTTGTGTCACATCTGACCGCGTGGTGCGGTTGGTAGATATCATGCAGTTGGAGATTCATTGTGGAATTCACTTGACTCATGTCTAGGAGTTGACTAATTCTTCTACGCACTCTTATATGAGTTGTTCCTGTCCTAAGTATTATCGTTTATTACCAACATTCGTGTGATTATTCTATCCAGTGACCTTCTCTAGGTTACCACGTAATTATTGACCGGGTAATCAGTGCATCTTTCGTTCGAAATTTATAAAATCTTTCTTTTAAAACAAATTTCAGGAAAACATGTTTTTTATGTTCAGTAGCTGTTATCGCTCATTTCAGTATCAATGGGGTTTTCCTTCCTAACCATTTATTTGAAGTAGTGGGGAATGCTAACATCATAATTATGTCATTATCTTATTCATTTTAGTTGCTGATATTGATATTTATGTGAGGTGGTTTCTGTTGAAACTCAAACTCTCTCCAGACCCCAAGCAATTTTTCTCTCTTTGCTTATGCTCCCACCTCCTGTTCTGGCATCCATTCATATATCAGGTTTGCTGCTTACCCCTATATTTCTTACCCTCAATATGCTCTGTGAGGATTAAGTTTTCTAAGCCCTCCTTCCTCAATACATGTCAAAGAAATTTCAGCCATCTCTTTCTGATTCTAAGTATTCTTTTTGTTACCATTTCCTTTTAGATTTTCTCAGTGGTTATTCACTCTCAACATCCTTCTGTAGAATCACATTTCTACTCCCGCCAGGTTTTTCTTCATCTGTGAGGAGAATGTTATGGGATCTTACCCATAATAATAATAATGGACTATTCCATAATTAATAATAATGGACTCATTCGCTCACTTTCGGAGCGACTGTTACTTAATAACTCTCTTTCCGGGCGGGGAAACCCGAAGGAGGCTACGCGAAGGGCGGAGTCTCCTTCGGGGAGGTAAAATGGCCCTGAACCCGTTTATACGGGTTCAAATGGGTTTCGGCTCGGGAATGCCCACATTCCTTGAGCGACATGACACCCTCGGTTCGTCAACTTTCTGAGCGACTGTTCTTCAACTCTCTTCCTGGGCGGGAGGAACCCGAAGGAGGCTACGCCGAAGGGCGGAGTCTCCTTCGGGAGGTAAATTGGCCCTGAACCCGTTTATACGGGTTCAAATGGGCCCCGAACCTAATGAACCCACGTTGGCCTTTACAGGACGCCGTCGTTGGGGTGAAATATCGTCAGTCGCTCACTTTCTGAGCGACTGTTCGGTTCAACTCTCTTCCCTACGAGGAACCCGAAGGAGGCTACGCCGAAGGGCGGAGTCTCCTTCGGGAGAGGTAAAATCGGTCCAGAACTTGTTTATACGGGTTCAAATAGGCCTTTTTTGCCGAGCAAATGGCTCGGGATTGACACCTTTGTGCCACATGACACCCTCGTGGTGGGGGTGACTGAATATCGTCAGTAGTTCAAGTCGAGTCAGTAGTTCAAGTCGAGTCAGAGGCAGTCCGAAACAGAGTCGCGTTCAGACAATCACTGCAAGACATTGGAATAGTGATACTGGTCAAGACGACATTGTTCTCTACTAAACCTGATTGTTCGTACTAACACTTTCTACTTCTCTGTATATATTCCTGTTTGTAATATATCTGTGTTATTCCATATGCGTGTTCGAGTTCTTCTTTATTGGTTCTACCTTGGACTATCACCCGGGGTACAAGGAACCGGACAATAACAGAGAGTGTCTAACTGTGACAGCCCTAAAAGTGGATTAATATCATGCAAGTAATCTGGCACTCTTTTCTAATGAAATGTTGATGTTGAACCAATGTCTTCAAATGAAGAATGACTGGCATGCTTTGGAGGGGGTGGAATCCTGGTTTTTACCAAATTTTCAAAAACAGACCTCTGATACTGGTGGGATATACACTCATAAAGCAAACTAGTAATTTTGCACCACCACCTAGCAGACCCTGGACTCTCACCTATCATGATGGTTGGCTCTTCTCTAAAGAAGGCTTTTCGCCTCAAATGTCTATTGGGACTCAAGCTCTCCCCTGACATCAAGTGGAACTCGTATATACGATCTATTGCTAAAGATGCTGGAGAAAAGATCAGTTCATTGTACCGCTCCATTAAATACCTGACTCTCTCTGCTATACTCTATCTTTACAAGAGCCAGGTCAAAGCAAAAATGGAGTGTTGCTGCCATATGTGGGATGGAGCTGCTCAGTCCTCATTTGCCGATCTTGACAGAGCTCAAAAGCATCTACATGCACTTGTGGGTGATGAATCATTTTCCACCCTATAACCCTTTTCCCCACAGATGCAAAGTCGTGAGCCTCTCGTTGCTCTATTGCTATTTCCATGACATGTCTTCTGACAGGTTATGTTTCTTAGTTTCACCTTCCCTGACTTTTACAAGTGGGATCCACAAGTGTGAATCCTCCCCTTTTCACTTGGACAGCTTCTTCCCAAGAGCTGCTACTTTGTGGAACAGACTCTTGACAGGATGTTTTCCACCTTGCTACAATCTCGATTTTTCCAAGTCTCTTCCCTATATAACGCCACGAACTTCACTTCTTGCCTTTTCCTATGCTTTTCTACAGCCATATCATGTTGAAATACACGTTCACATACAATCACCGAAGTTAAGCAATGTTAAACTTGGCCAGTACCTAGATGGATGACGGCTAGTCTATCTACACATGTGATCTGGTTATAATAATGAATTATGCACCACCACCGAGTAGACCATGAACTCTCACCTATAATGATGGTCTTCTTGTCTCGAAGGTCTATTAGGGCTCTAGCTCACCCCAGACCTTAAGTCGAACTCATATATTCGATTTATTGCTAAAGATGCTGGAAAAATGGTCGGTTCATTGTACCACTCCAGTAAGTATCTGACTGCAATACTCTATCTTTACAAGAGCCAGATCAGGCCTCAAATAGTGTATTGCTGCCATATCTGGTTTGGAGCTGTTCAGTCCTCATTTGCCTGCCTTGACAGAGTTCAAAAGCGTCCAACTGGCCTTGTGGGTGATAAATTAATTTCCATCCTCGAATCCGTTTTTCCCACAGACGAAATATCACAGGCGTCTCGTTACTCTCGCTAATTCCATACCAATTATTCTGATGAGATATATTTCTTCGTTCCACCAGACTTGACTTTTGAAAGAGTGAATCACCCCATTGCCTTCGTACTGCTATAGTAAGAAGTGAGTTCCATTTGGACAGCTTCTTCTCAAGAACTGATACTTTGTGTTATAAAATTTTGGCGGGATGTTTTCCCAATCTCTATAATCTTGACCTCTTCAAGACTAGTATTAATCGTTATCCTTTTTACATGAGTTAATGAGTTTCCCTGTAAATCCCTACCGTAAGTGGCTTTGGGCATTTTATTGGGTGAATATTAGTATACAATATTTTAGTTTTTACTTTGGGTAAAACGGTGATATAAGTTATGCGTTGATATTATTTGCATCTGGACTAATTCCACCTTTGTTGTTGCCATTCTAGAAATTCGGACAGAAATTTCTCATAGAATAAAAGAATGAAAAATCTTTTACAGTTGTATCGATTGCTGGTATGTACGAAACAGCGAAAAAGAATGGATTAACTCACCAAAGTTTACCTACAGCTCACAGATTTAAATGACCTATACAAAAGTCGATGCCATTTGTCAGATCAAAGTGCAACGCAAGCATATAACGTACATCACACAGAAACCGGCATTTCCACTAGCGCAGTGCAAGTTCTCGTAAACGAATTTACGGATACGGGTATACGATCAATCTTTCAACAGCCGCGCTTCCAAAACTGCCCGTCCTGGGTATGACGATAAACTACATCCGCGTCCTGGATAAGACGATAAACTACGTCCAGCAGCAAGATCTCTGATCAGGAGATTTTGAGAAGCGTGGAACCACCTCCTAATTACTAGTGTTCCCAGGTCCATCATGACCCGGGGTGGTAGCACCTGTTTGGGTCTCAGCTATGGGCAAATAGTTAACCCCCAAACCGAAGTTAAAACGTGTAAAAATAGGTTTTATTACCCGCAATACATTTTTGAAAAAAAATTACCAGAAATACATTTCTGAAAAAAAAGTTACCAGCAATACATTTTTGAAGAAAAAAAACAAAACAATCAGCAATACATTTTTGAAAAAATGAAATATTACCAGTAATACATTTTTGGAAAAAATATTAACAGGAATAGTTCTTTGAAAAAGAAAAAAAAAATTACCAGTAATAAAAATCTGGTCGCCATTAAATAACTAATAGAGGTTGATATGTCGTAAAAGAAACCAAATGAAACCAAACGAAACCGGAACACTGCTGATGTATCCGTTTTGTTGGATCAAAATAATTCGCCTGATAACAATAGAATGATACACCCTCGACTAAGCATAGGTAGCTGAGAAATTTTATCTATAGTAGCTTGACTTTATGAATTTAAGCACATTACTAGACTGGCGCCAAGGTTTCATTATTTTGCAGTTGAACGTGATAGGTTTAGCCGTAAGTTCTATGTTAACACTTTCTCTTCTCACACTTCTCGCTTGTGGAACACTTTCGGCTTCTTGCGTTCCAGTCAATTTTGATATTCAAAAATATAAATGTAATGTCAATTGTTAATGTTGTAATAAGAGTGTGTTGGAATTGGTTGGGGGACACCTAAACGATTTCTCTCCCAATAACTACGGGGGTAATAGATAGGCAGAGGGAGAAAAGAGACGAGAATGTAGGAAAAGAGACGAGAATGTAACAAAAGATAGATTGCTTCGGAAATTTAGGAACAAGTGCTCCCGGGGTCGACTTCACAGGTCACTGCGTCTTGCCGACTGTTGGTTTACCCGTTGCTTTTATTAGCATGAGTCATATTACAATGGCTCTGAAATTGATCAATTGCAGAGAGGTCCGTATCGAGACACACCAAGCTGTCCGGCTGCTATCTGGAGAAATCCGGATGTGCTGACAAACACGCGACCCGGTGCCTCTTTTGCGTCTGTACCGATGCGCGTTCCCCACGTCTTAGTAGTTTTGTTGCCTTTCTTGGAAAAGATTAAAAAAAAATATCCTCGATATTTCTAATAGCATATAACAAAAACTCGTAAACGAATTTACGGATACAGATATAGGAGCAACTTTCCGACACGCGTGGTTCCGGATTCTCTGCTGAAGTATTCGCTGTTTCGGTTCAAGAGAATTCGCATCATGACAATTCAATAACAGACGTCCGATTCACTAATTATGCATTTTTATCTCTAAAGCATTGTTCCACTATTTGTTGCATTGATACCGACTGCTGTTTACGCTTGACATCACCGCAGACACCTGCACTTTGCTTGGAAACCATAACTAGAGTTAAATATAAGCAAAATAGACTAGGATTTATACAAAATCGATGAAGCTGCACCAATCGCACCAATGTAAACAATTAAGCGACCGCTCGCCATGAATAACGCCAACGTTGCCTGTAGCCGGTCGGTGAATTAGTCTGGCCATCGCGTGATATTCAAGTGCTTTCTCGTAATTCTGTCCGAATTAACAGACAGCGGAGGATCAGATACCAGCGAATCGGCGGAACACATATACGAGGCTGGACTGAAAAGCTCATAGGCTGACTATAGAGGAATAATGCTAGAACTGTGAAATCTTGCATGCATTAGTTTCATCTCTTCTTAAGAACTGCTCTGTTTCTTTCCATGTAAACTGACATCTGGCTATTCAAACAAGACTTAAAATGGACAACATCTGGGATTGTGATGTTATCAAGTACCTGAAGAAAATGGGTTTATCCACCAAGAATATTCATACTGTCATGGTTGCTACGTTAAGGAACGGCGCTTTGGGTTTATCAACAGTGTAAAAGTGGGCAGATGAATTAAAGAGGAGGAGGGATAGTCGTGAAGATGTCCCAAGGTTTGGACGTCCTGCAAATGCCACCACAGAAGAAAACATTGTGTTCGCCACATGGTGATGGATTACAGGTGAATGGCTGTAAATCAAGTAACTAATGCTGTTAGCATATCCCGTGAGAGAATTGTGAAAATTCTACACAAGGAACTTGACATGAAGAAGGTTTTTGCTCGGTGGGTGCCACGTCTTCTGACACCTGGCCAAAAGCGCACCAGGCTGATCATATTACAGGAAATTCTGACGTTGTCTGAAACAAATCAAGCTGGTTTCCTTGAACGTTTCTTAACCCAGGATGAGTGTTAGGTTCATCACTTTAATGTAACCGTAAATTCTATTCTTGCTTTCCGGTCAACGGTGATATTCAAAAAATTAAATGCAGTGTCAATCATCATCTTCTGGCTCCGTAATTCCTGTTTTTTTCTCCTTAAGAATGTTTTTCTTTTTATATTCTTTCACGCTAAGTACCGCAAAACCTCTGCGTCTTAGTGGCTTCATTGTCTTGTTTGGGGTAAACTGATTAAAAAAATATCATTGAATAGAGCTAGAAAAGGATAGGAAGTTATGGAGAGCCATGATCGTCAATGTTCAGAAAGGACGTGGTACATATTATACAAGTAATTGATTATCAAAAGGCAGATGTTATCAGCTGCAGACATTTTACATTGTTGGCCCGAGGATAGACGGATAAATTCAGCAATGAAATAATTAAGAACTTCAATCTTATCGGAAACTCTTGAAAATTCTTGAGAAAAAGACCGGCAGCTCTTTAAACCATTCTTTCTCTCATTTTTATTTCTCCTTTTTTTTCTATGTTTCTTTGTTGGTATATTTAATGAATCGTGAGATTTTTGTTTTGACGTAACTTATGGTGGCCCAACGACTATCGATTACCTACCAAAGCGTTCGATTTAAACACGGCATTCGTTTTTTTTTAAAAAAAGATTTATATTTTATAATTTTAGCTGAGCTCATTGATGAAACACCGTGTTTCCTGAGATATGACTCCGTGACTGCCTATATTCTTCACGTATTTGTCTCATGCCAAACACGCGAAGAACGTAAGCTATTTAACGAGAGCCGCCATTCATTACTTCACCGGTGGAGTAATGGATAGCGGCTAGAATTGAGGAATCGGAGAGCCGAGTTCGAATCCATTATATTCATTTACATGCTAATACCCTTGGGAAAGGTATCAATCCTCCTCTTCTCCCCACAAGGCAAATAGCAGGACAGACCGGGTTCTATAGCTTTGGATAGCAACTGGTCAACCGCAGAAAGAAATAGTAACTTACTGCGGGAAAAAATTCTGCCTCGTCAGTTATGTATCAAAAGATACATGATCGCCTAAGCGTGTATTACGCATGGCACATAACTGACTGACTATGTATTTACACTTTTAGTATTTGCAAAGGCTTTGTAACTGTAATCATTAAAGTGAATGAACGTTTTGGTGGATTTCTTTAATAAATGCGGTTTGATAGTCGAAGGCGATATTAAATCATTGTTATATAAAACTTTTGTGGAATATTGCATATAATTGTTTTCGATGCCGTTTAATACGTTTATCTTTCAAGGACATTTTGAATTGATTGATCGTTATATTCTAAATTGGAAAGTGGATCTATCTATCTATCTATCTATCTATCACATCATATTCATTATCTATCTATCTATCTATCTATCTATCATTTCGTATTCATCTATCACATTATATTATCTATCTATCTATCTATCTATCTTCATCTATTTCATATTATCATCTATTATCTATCTGTCATTCATTATCTATCTATCTATCTATCCATTCATTCTCCATCATCTCCATCTATCTATCTATCATGTTCATCCATCTATCTATCTATCTATCACATTTCTTCATCTATCTATCTTATCTATCTATCTATCTATCTATCATCTATCTCTATCTTCGTCTGTTCATTATCTATCTATCTATCTATCTATCTATCTATCTATCTATCTATCACATCATATTCATTATCTATCTATCTATCTATCTATCTATCTATCTATCTATCTATCACATTTCGTACTTCATCTATCACATTATATTCATTATCTATCTATCTATCTATCTATCTATCTATCTATCTATCTATCTATCTATCTATCGCATTATATTCATCTATCTATCTATCTATCTATCTATCTATCTATCTATCTATCTATCTATCACATTTCATTGTTCATCTATCAAATTGTGTTCATTATCTATCTGTCACATTATCTATCTTCATCTATCTATCTATCACATCATATTCATCTTCTCATCTATCTATCTATCTATCTATCTATCTATCTATCTTCGTCTGTCTTATCTATCTATCTATCTATCTATCTATCTATCTATCACATTTCATTCTTCATCTCATCTGTCATCTATATCTATCTATCTATATCTATCTATCTATCTATCTATCATCTATCTATTATATCATATTATCATATCTATCTATCTTCATCTATCTATCTATCACATTTCATTCTTCATCTATCAAATTATGTTCATTATCTATCTGTCACATTCATCTATCTATCTATCTATCTATCTATCTATCTATCTATCTATCTATCTATCTATCTATCTATCACATCATATTCATTATCTATCTATCTATCTATCTATCTATCACATTTCGTACTTCATCTATCACATTATATTCATTATCTATCTATCTATCTATCTATCTTCGTCTGTTCATTATCTATCTATCTATCTATCTATCTATCTATCACATTTCATTCTTCATCTATCAAATTATGTTCATTATCTATCTGTCACATTCATTATCTATCTATCTACCTATCTATCTATCTATCTATCTATCTATCACATCATATTCATTATCTATCTATCTATCTATCTATCTATCACATTTCATTCTTCATCTATCAAATTATGTTCATTATCTATCTGTCACATTCATTATCTATCTATCTATCTATCTATCTATCTATCTATCTATCTATCTATCTATCACATCATTTTCATTATCTATCTATCTATCTATCTATCTATCTATCTATCTATCTATCTATCACATTTCATTCTTCATCTATCAAATTATGTTCATTATCTATCTGTCACATTCATTATCTATCTATCTATCTATCTATCTATCTATCTATCTATCTATCTATCTATCACATCATATTCATTATCTATCTATCTATCTATCTATCTATCTATCACATTTCGTACTTCATCTATCACATTATTCATTATCTATCTATCTATCTATCTATCTATCTATCGATTTATCCATCCATCTATTCTCATCTATCAATCTATCTATCCATCAATCACATCATATTCATCTATCTATCTATCTATCTATCATTCTATCACATTCACATTATATTCATTATCTATCTATCTATCTATCTATCTATCATTTCATTCTTCATCTATCAAATTTTTCATTATCTATCCCATTCATTATCTATCTATCTATCTATCTATCTATCTATCTATTTTTTCTATCTATCACATCATATTCATTATCTATCTATCTATCTATCTATCTATCTATCACATTTCATTTTCATCTATCACATTATATGCATTATCTATCTATCTATCCATCTATCTATCTATCTTCGTCTGTCTATTTTATCTATCTATCTATCTATCTATCTATCATCACATCATATTCATTATCTATCTATCTATCTTCTATCTATCTATCACATTTCGTATTTCATCTATTCATTATATTCATTATCTATCTATTCATCTATCTATCTATCTTCTATCTATCTATCGCATTATATTCATTTCTTCTTTCTATCTATCTATCTATCTATCTATCTATCTATCACATTTCATTTTCATCTATCAAATTGTGTTCATTATCTATCTTCACATTCATTATTTCTTTCACATCATATTCATTATCCATCTATCTATCTATCTATCTATCTATCTTGATTTTATCTATCTATTATCTATTTTCTATCCATCTTTCCATCAATTCCACATTTATCTATCGTCATTATTCTGTCTTCATTTTCATCTATCTACCATCCATCACATCTATCTATCTATCTATCTATCCATCCATTTTATCCTTCTCGTTATCTCATCTATCTATCTATCTATCTATCTTCACATTTCATTCTTCATCTATCAAATTATGTTAATTCCATCCATCTCCATCTGTCCACATTCCATCTATCTATCTATCCATCCATCTATCTATCTATCCATTTCATCTTCCATCCATTATTTCTAACTATCTATCCATCCATCACATCCATCATTCCATCCATCACATCTTTTCATTCTTTATCTATCTATCTATCTTCGTCTCATTTCTTCCATCCATTCTATCTATCTATCTATCTATCTATCTATTTTCATTCTTCATCTATCAAATTATGTTTTTATCTATCTGTCACATTCATTTATCTATCTATCTATCTTCTATCTATCTATCTATCTATCTCATCATATTCATTTCTATCTATCTATCTATCTATCATCTATCTTTTCTTCATCTATTCTTTTCATTATCTATCACATCATTTTCATTTCTATTTCTATTATCTATCTATCTTTCTATCTATCTTTGTTTTTCTTCTATTATCTTCTATCTATCTTTCTATTTCTATCTATCCATTTCCATCTTTCTTTCCTATCTATCTATCTTCTTTCCATCACATTTCGATCATCCAAACTATCTATTATCTATCTATCTCTATCTCTCTTCATATCGTCTGTCATTTTCATCTATCCACTAAAATCTTTCCATCTATCTATTCTATCTCATCATCCATTTCACGATTCCATCTAATCTATCTCCACTCCATCTATCTATCCATCCATCTATCAATCATTATCTATCTATCACACTATCTATCATATCCATAAACCATCTATCTATCTATCTATCTATCTATCATCTTGTCTTCGTCTGTTCAACGTTTTTTCATCCCATCTCCTTAAAAAGTATCTATCTATCTAAAATCTATACTTTTCCATCCATTATATATCCATCTATCCATCGTTCCATCCATCTATCCATCACATTTCATTTCATCCATCAAATCATGTCCATTGTCTTCTGTCAAATGTCCATCCATCCATCCATCCATCCATCCATCCATTTCACATACACCATCCATTTATCTATCCATTCTTTCTCCATCTATTTCTCCTCCAAATGATCTAGAAATAAAAATTATTATCTGTCAATCTATTCTATCATCTATCTATCTATCTATCTATCTATCACATTACTCATTATATTCTTTCTTTTCTATCTATCTATCGCTTAAATTATGGCATTCATCTGCAGCTTTGTCGCATCTATCTATCTATCTATCTTTTTGTTCTATCTATCTATCTATCTATACTCTATCTATAATCATCTATCTATCTATCTCAGTTTGTGTGTGTCAAGATGATATTCGTCAGGTCCTTATATGTAAATTTATCCAGTTTTGTCAAAATGAGCCACGAATGTCGATCATTTTTTTTTTGGCAACTGAAGTTTTCCAACTCATTCAATTTGAAAATTGAAAATACACCATTTTCTTGATGGAATAAATAGCATTCCACTGGAAAGAGGTTGTTTTTTAAATACGTGCAATTTTCGAATTGTTTGCATACATCTTTGTCATTTAAACATCTTGTTGAACCAAAATAGGTCTGGTTTAATTTAACCGATTTCTGCTCAAGCAAGGCTCAAAATAGTTAGCCTTCTAATGGGATGTGAATTGTTTAACTTTGCCTCCCAATTCAAGGACAAGGGCTTTTTTTCTTGATTTGTTTCCTTTCGCTTTCTTTTCGTCTTTCCTACATTTTTAATTGGTTTCTTTCATTTTTCTTCATTGTAATGATTTATGCCTGATTTATTCTTTCTTTCTTTCTTTCTTTCTTTCTTTCTTTCTTTCTTTCTTTTCATTCACAATTAATGATTGATTTTTCGTTGTTTCATTTTTTGTTCTTTCAATGATTTATACGTGATTATTCTATCTTCATTTTCATTAACGAACAAGAATTCATTTTTCTCTGTTTTATGCTTTCTTTCTTTTAACTATATCGACTTTCTTTCTCTCTTTCTTTTGTTAATTGCTACTTTGTTTTACTTTATTTTTCACTTCTTTCTTTTCTAACGGTATTTGCTCTGATTCTTTCTTTCTTTCTTTCTTTCTTTCGCTCTTTCTTTCTTTTAATGTTTACTGCTTTGTTTTTCTTTGTCTTCTTTCTTTATTTTGCTCTTTCTTTCTTTCACTCTTTCTTTCTTTCGAAAGACAAACTGTCATTTTTGTCTCTCTTTCATGTCGTCTGTCATTTTGCGTACCACTAAAATCTTTCTTTTCTCATCATTTTCACGATTTAATATTTCCACTCAACCAAGCAAACACACCATATTAAACCATCATAATGTCATCTTGTAAACGTTTTTTTCCCTCTCCTTAAAAAAGTGTGAAAAGATACTTTTTTGATAACTCCATCGTTCATTTACCAGTTTAGAGACATCGGGCTGTCTTCAGCAAATGTGTGTGCTTCCAAATCGATTTCGCATACACCAGATTTAAATTCTTTTCCAATTTCTCCTTAAATGAAGAAATAAATTAATTAAAGATTTTCGACACCTGGAAAAATGGCAGCGTGCAGCTTTGTATCGAAAAAAGTGAACAAACATTGGAAAAGGAAAATAGTTTAAGGTCAAGGATTAAAAAAGAAATGATTGACACGTGTTCTTGTTGGAAATACCGGTTGTAACAGCAAAATTGTCCAAATAGTGTAACAGCAAATTTGTCCAATTGTTGGATTATGCTCTGAACCATTGTATCTTAGATTTTTATTGTAAACAACGAATTTTGGGGAGTTTTTTCTCCTGGTCGGAAAGATTGAAAGTTTTGGAACAAGAAATATAAAATCTGTGGGAAACGATTGACGAATTAATTCCCATATAGACGACACCTGGAATTGGTGTATCGAGGGTTTGAACAAAGGAAAACGACTCAGTGCAATGATGATTGACACGTGTTCTACGGAGCTGAAAATGAGGAAAGCGAAAATTTAATTTTCGTAAACAACGAATTTGGAGGGTCGAAAGTTGAGTTGACCAGGAGGGTGGAATGAAGCCACCCACGCTCACTGAGAGAGAGAGAGAGAATGAGAGAGAGAGAGAGAGAGAGAGAGAGAAGGGAATTCCCCAGAATTATCTAGTAAGCTGACAACAAAGGGGATTTACCGAAATCTCCCTATGCGCCGAGTCGCGCGCCAGTTTGGGCGAATATCAATACGAATGCACCAAGCGAATTCGTCAGACAAAACCGGATACAGAGACGGAGACAGGAGCGAAACGGCAGAAAATCCGCCGTAGCTACCGGTCGTGATACGCCCTACGTGATTGCCTGCCGAAGAGAACACCCTTCCGAACTTTACCAAAACAGTGATTCAAACTTTACAAACTCAACAACGATAATATCACTTCGGATTCAGATGCGGGTTAGGCTGATAATTGCATACGAACTCTGATATAAACCAATTAATGTACGAAGAACTGATATAAAAAAAGGATTTACTTTTTGTTCAGTTTATTTGAGTGTTATATTTTCCCTGTACGCCATCGTTCTGCTTGGACCAACCCAACAAGAAGATACCTGCGGCGATTCGATTATAGCCTCCTTATGATCAAACTTAAATCACAACGTGGGATAAGGTTAGCTGTGGATTGAAGCGGTCACTTCAGTGACCAGCTGTGGTGTTGGAAGTCTTGAACGACCGGGAAGGGTGTTGTACGATAACAAAACTGGATCAGGAGGTCACAGCAGCAAGAGGGATGGCCATTTCAACTTAGACCTAAAGAGATCAATTAGAAAAGATACAACTCAATTAATAAGACGTTTGGCACCTGAGAGGAATTTCACCTATGACAGTCCAAAGAGCAGTGAAAAAAGTTTTGGTAATGAAATCGTACGAGACATCTCGGAGGCACCTTGTTACGCCAGGAGAGAAAGTTAGAAGGTTAGAAAGGGCGAAGACCATCTTGACTTAGTTGGAAAATGACCCTGAAATATATATATATATATATATATATATATATATATATATATATATATATATATTTAAAGGCCGGAGCGAACAACGGTCGTGAATATGTCAATGGAAATAAGGACAACAGTACGAGGAATGTAAATGGTGTAAATAATTACAATAGCTCATCTCAGAAATATAGAAAGATCCTGAAGAAGGTCGGAGCGTACAACGGCCGAAACGTCGTGAATGTGGCAAAAAAGATGAGGACAACAGTACGAGCAATGTAAATGGTGTATATAATTACAATAGCTCATCTCAGAAATATAGACAGATCCTGAAGAAGGTCGGAGCGTACAACGGTCGAAACGTCGTATATATGGCATCGAAGATGAGGACAATAGTACGAAGAATCTAAAAGGTGTAAATAATTACAATAGTTCTTCTAATAAATATTGATAGTAAAACTTAAATCCGTTAACTTTTTTGAGCTTTGACAAGACAGGTCATTTTCCTTGTGTTCAAAACGCCTGTATTTAATTTATTTACGACGAGTGAAATATATTTTTAAGTAACATATCGAGTTTAATTTTCTTTAATATAGTTTTTTAACCTTTTTAAAAATAATAAAAAAACATCAGAAATAACCTTTGACCTTCTCTCTCTTTCTTTATTGCTCAAAGTTGAGTCCGAAAGTGTTATAAAAACTTCGGAGAATTCCAGTATGATATCTTTAATCATTTCTAAGTTACAACGCTTCAGAGCTTTGTCTAAAAATTGGACAATTTTGCTGTTACGCCCACTATATTTTTAAGTGTATATCAACAACATTGAAACATTATCATACCAGAGAAAATTGTCTCGTGATAAAGAACAGTTAGGGGTGTACTTGTAAAATTCGCGCCCTTCAAACCGGGGTGAAACTTGATCGAAATACAGAATTACCTAGCTCAAGTGATAGAAACTAATTGGTATTCAGAAAGTGGTTTGACCTCAGCCGCTTGTGGACTAATCGAGACGCAGAAAATATTTGCCCATCTATATTAGCATGTGTCCATTATTTGTCAAGGTCAATTTTTTTGATGAGACAATCTGACCTTTTGAACCCTACAAGTTCTTATCGCATCCGACGGCATTAGTTGAGCAGTCTTTCGATCGGGACCGAATCGAAATATACGAGAGTGGCCGTAATTAACAGGAATTCAATTAATGCAGTAATCACGACGACTGATTAAGCCGAAGAAAACCTGAAGGAGAAAAAACGGGTGGTAAACAGGGTGGGTGGCCATCCTGAAATTGACTAGAAACAGAGGTGTCACGGTCTGCTTTAATTACTTGATCACAGCAAGGGCGAAGTCTGCTCCGATATCATTGCATTCCTTTTCGAACAGTGGGACATACAATGTTCTAATTTCATTGGTATTTCTCTTTTTAATTATTCGACTGCAAGCAAGGCGATAAACCCACTAAGACGCAAGCGTTTATTGAATTTGAAAGAAACTGAGCAATCGTTATTGATTGATTCGTTATTTTTTAATTACAGCATTTTAACCCTTTGTGCCCTAACCACCGCTTTACCGGTGGTAGATAAAAATGACGTAATACTCAGCTACCAGTTTAAACAGTGGTAAAGAAAAATGACTTAATGCCAAGCTACCGGTTGAACGGTGGGTAACACATGTGACTATTTTTATATCTACCGTAAAACATTACATACCAATTATTTGCGAATTCTGACTTAGAAGCTCAGGCAGAAGGATTATAATTGTTCAGAAACGCAAGGCTCAAAAAGTTAAGGTTATTTAAAGCCAGAAAATATTTTGTTTAGAATATTTTTTTGGAGATAATTATGGTTTCATTGATACATGTTTTACTAATTGTTGTAGCATACCTACAGACGATAATGGGTATATCCCCATTCATATAAATACAGTAGTAAATACTGTATGTTGGTCTATAGTTGGAGATCGTCTCCAGCAGTGCTGGTCAAACTCTCTGACTCCGGGCATAGAGGATCCCCAGACGAGGCTATGTCGAAGGGCGGAGTCTCGTCTCGGGAAACAGTTACCCGACCCCGTTTTATACGGGGACTACGGGAAATTTTTGGCCGAGCCTACGGGATCGGATACCCCACATTAAATTCGGCCTTGTACCACATCTGACTGCGTGGGACGATTGGTAGATATCCTGCAGTTGGAGATTCATTGTGGAATTCACTTCACTCACTTCTAGCAGTTGATTATTACTTTTATGCACTGCTGGCGAATCTTATATATGTTGTTCTTGTTCTAAGTTTTATCGTTCATTCCCAACCTTCGTTTGATAATTCTATTCAGCAACTGCTGTAGCATACCTATGGACGATAATGGATATGTTCCTATTCACATAAATACAGTAGTAAATACTGTATGTTGGTCTGCAGTTGGAGATTCATTG